GCAGCCGCCTTGGCTCAAGAATCGGGGGGTCTCCATAATGGCCCCCATTCTGTTCACCGGGCCCGGCCGAGCTCCTCCCTCCGTGGCCTGGAGGAGCTCGCCACCGCCGCTCGCCCCGAAGGCGGAGCCCCGCCCAGCGACGCCGCGCCACGTTCGGCCCCGGGGCCGTGCCCGCGGGCGCGGCAGCAGCTGGTGCGCCGGGCGTGGGCCCGGCAGTGCTGGCCATCAGTGGTACGGGGGGGGCGTTGTTGAAGGAATGTGTGCAGGAGGCTTCAGACTCTGGGGGGTTCCTTATATGCTGAGGGCCGAGGCCATATCCATGGCCGGTCCACAGTGAAAGTCCGATTGGCTTCCAGACCCTGGATTCCTTATCCAAGGTTCCCTTATCCAAGGCCTCCGCCGTATGTACCCTGCCGACCAGGCGGGCCAGTTCCTCGAGTGCACGGTGGAAAACTACAGCGACGTGCACTACCTACCGGTCATGCAGGATGTTTTCGCCATGGGAGGGTCGTTGTTCCACCTCTGCACGGAGGGAGTATACCCGTGATGCCAGGCAGTGGGCTGGCCAGGCAGAAACGTGGTCCATTCGGACACGGTGCGCGTGCTGGGGCCGTCAGCCGCTGGGCCTTGCGGAGGCGCTGGCGCCAGTGTCCTGGCAGCAGCTGGAGGCGCGGCCGCGGGGCTGGCGGCTGGCCCAGCCCAGAGCAAGGGATCCACAGCTGGTGGCGCAGCCGACGGCACAGGCGATGCGAAGACGGACGAGGACCTCCTTCAAGCGCTGGCGAAGCTCAAGGAGAAGCTCAAGAAGAGGCAGAGCCTGGGCGAGTCGTTGGCCGAGCGGGCCGAGGCTGCGCTTGAGGGCCGACGCGGTGGCAAGCGTCGGCGTGGCGGCAAGAATCGTGATGAGGACCGCGGTTCCGACAGGTCGTCTTTTGACGTGGCCCCGACCGCTGGTTCCGGCCGCCTGGTGCAGAAGCTAGCGCGCTCCGGTCTAGGGGCTTTGCTGGCTGCGGGTCTGCAGCAGATTTGCGAGTACCTGGCGCAGGGGGGCGGGGCCGACAATGACGATGAGCTGGACCCCCTGACCGCCAACGTGGTGCAGTGCACGAACGTGTGGCATGGCATGCACCCCCAGAGCGAGATGGGGGTGCGGAGCGTGCGGGAAAAGAGGATGAACGGCGAGTGCATGGACGCCCTCGCCCGCGGCGAGCTGCCGCAGCTGGGGGACATGCTGATGCAACGGCTGAAGGCCATAGGGCAGGCCACCAAATGACGGGCACCGGAAGGTGGCCGAGCACCTGGAGCTGGTGGACTCGGTCGACATCGGCTTGGCGCGGCCATCCGAGATAACGGCGGCGGTGGCAAGGTACTCGGAGCAGGCCAAGCCGAAGGAGCGTCTCGGACGGGCAGGAGCGGGCGGCAAGAGGTCCCCCTAGGGACTCGGCGAGGGAGGAGGCGCGCGCACCAGGACGCCTTCCCCCGCACTGCCGCCCCGTTCGCCCGATCCTGGGGCCGAGGCTCGCGCCTCGCCGAAGGCGACAACCAAGCGCAAGGCCCGCTGGAAGGGTCGACCCAGGAGTGGCAAGAGCAGGGGCGCGGGGCAGCCAGCGGGCGCCTCAGGGCCGCCGGCGCCGCCAGCGGAGCCAGCCGCCCGCAAGGCGAGCCCCGCGAGGGAGAAGGTCGCGCTGCGACCGAGGAACCCATCTCCGACGTGGCGGGCCTTGACGACACTGGGGTCCGTGAGCCCTGGAATGAACCACAAACTTGCCCTGCGGCCTCGGGCTGGAGCCAGCGCCCCTGCGAGCCCGCAGCGACGGGTGGTTTTCGAGGACAAGGCGAAGGGCCGCCGAGCGGGCGGCAGCACGGGCATGGAGGCCAACCTGCCGCGCCCCCTGCCAAAACGGGGTCGAAGGGCCGCGGCCGCGGCATGGGCGGCGCCCGCGGCAGAGGCAAGGGGCCCAACTAGAATCGGAAGTGAATTTCATTTCTCCGCAGGCTGCTCGGCGTTCGAGCAGCGGTGCTTCGGATGGCAGCTGGGGTTCTGAGATCGTAGCGACCTCGAACCTGGAGGGCGAGTGCGAAGGCGTGGACATCCATGCAGTCTCAGGCGGGCTATCCGCTAAAATTCATCCTGCAGACCCTGGGCGACCCGGCAGCAGCCCTGGCTGGTGGGGCCCTACACCTACGCTCTTGGGCCCCGCGTGGCCGCTCTCCTCTGGCGATTGGCCGAGGCCGAGGCAGACGGGGGTTCGGACTCTGGGTAGTACTGGCCCCGACACGCTGGTGCCTGGGCGACCTGGCAGCAGTCCTGGCCTGTGGGGCCCTGCACCTACGCCCTTGGGCCCTGCGTGGCCGCTCTCTTCTTGCGATTGGCCGAGGCCGAGGCGGACGGGGGTCCGGACGCGAGGTCGTGACGCTGGAGCCGCGTCAGCCGCTGCCCTGCGAGCCTGGCGCCTATTCATTTTGGCTGATTTTTGAAGCTCACGAGCGAGGCAGGCGC